CGAATGGGTGGGACGTATGCGAACTTTCGGTGGAGCTCCCCGTGGGCCACGAAGCGCGTGAGGGGTGTGCCGAACGAAAATGGGGCGGTGGGGGGGGGAGAGCGCATGCGACCGTCGCCGCTGGGGCCTTCGCTGGAGCTGCTTCTGGGGCTACGCAGCGTGTGAGGGGTGCGCAGACATGACTCACTCGGTCGGATGCATGCGGACGTCGCCTCTGGGGCCTTCGGTGGAGTTCCCTGTGGGGGCACGAAACGCGTGAAGGGTGTGCCGACATGGGTCGGGCGGGCACAAGTGGCGCGTCCGCTGTAGGTGGAGCTCCCTTTGTGGCCAAGAAGCGCTGTACTGGGTGTGGCGGACGCATGCGGGCACCCCCACTGGGGCCTTCGGTGGAGCTCCCTTTGGGGGCCACGAAACGCTGTACTGGGTGTGGCGGACCATGCGGGCACCCCCACTGGGGCCTTCGGTGGCGCTCCGTATGGGGCCATGAAACGCTGCACTGGGTGTGGCGGACGCATGCGGGCACCCCCACCTGGGCCTTCGGTGGAGCTCCCTATGGGGCCACGAAGCGTGTGAGCGGTGTGCCGAAATTGGTGTGGCGGACGCATGTGTGCACCGCCACTGGGGCTTTCGGTGGAGCTCCCTTTGGGGCCACGAAAAGTGTGATGGGGTGTGCCGACATGGTCGACATGCGGTGAGCAGAGGCAGGGATGGGAGGAAGGAGGAGGAGGACCAGTGTGAACCCAAGAGCCATCAACGATGTTGGAATGCACCCTCCCTCCAACCTCCCTCTTCACATGCCCCTTCAGCGGTTCATTTCCATTGAGGAACCTGCCTCGTTGGAAGACAGTCATTTGAAGACCCAGAAGCATGCCAAAACAATGTTCTCTGGATGCCAACGCCACGGATCAACCTGACCGTTGCGTCTTGGCGACCCTGGACCGTGCCAGAACGTCACCGTTGCGCCCGTAACATCCTGAATCCGTCCAAACACACAATTTCTGGTACGCGGACCGTGGGAATCCGTGAAACTCTTGCAAATGTTATGAACGAATGTGCGCTGCGCTCAGGCAAGAGCCACAGTTTGAACAGAAACCGCCCTTCATAAGTGAAACTCTTTCAGATGTTTAGAACGAATGCGCGCGGCGCTAAAGCGAGAGCCACATGTTGAAAACGGGTCATCCTCAATCCGTGAAACTCTTGCAAATGTGTGAAACGAATGTGCAAACCCTGAGGCGAGAGCCACAATTTGAAAACGGGTTACACTCAACCCGTGAAACTCTTGCAAAGTTTGACACCGAATGCGCGCGGCGCTAAGGCGAGAGCCTCCATCTGCGAAACTGCTGCGAATTTGTAAGCTTCAGAATCATAAGTGGTGAAGAAGTCTTGGGCGAAACGCCAGGCCCACCCAAAACTTTGCCTCGGGGTGCGACAGGAAGAAGTTCCCCAATCAGAGCTTGCCTCTGTGAGGGTCCTAACAGATTCATATGAGTTCGGCGGCACGCCCGGGTGCCCGGGTGCCAAGGTGTCCTGGTGCCCGAATGCCCTACAGCACTATAGCCCTATAGCCCTATGGCCCTATAGCCCTGTAGACCTATAGCCTTATAGCCTTATAGCCCTATAGCCCTATTGCCCTACAGTCCTATAGCCCTTTAGCTCTATAGCCCTATAGCCCTATATCGCCATAGCCCTTCAGACATACAGCCCCATGGCCCTATAGCCCGATAACCACATAGCCCCACAGCCCCATAGCCCCAGAAACCTACAGCTCTACAGCCCTATAGCCCTATATCCCTATAGCCCTATAGACCCATAACCCTACGGCCATATAGCCCTATAGCCCCATAGTCCTATAGCCCTAAAAAGATTATGATTCGGTTTTTCTCCTGTATCATTATTTATACAGAAAAGGAATGGAGGAGGAAGGGGAGGAGGAGGAGGAGGAGGAGGAGGAGAGGACGGGAGGAAAGGAGAGGAACGCCCCGAGGACCAAACACTACATGATGGTTGGGGCAAAAAGACGCTAACGGAAATGGCAGGAAGGGGGAAGGGGGGGAGACCCGTTTGGAATCGAGGAGGGCACTGCAGTGCTCGTGCCGCTGAAGCTAGAGACCTAGGGCTACAAGTGGAAATACGGCCTACAGCTCCACCTCCTCGTCATAATCATCGTCCTCGTCGTTGTCGTCGTCACCACCACCACCATCATTCTCCTCATCCCCCACGTCGTCGTCAACACCGCCAACACAACAACCAAAACCACATGATCACCATTATCATCCTCCTGCTCCTCCTCCTCCACCTCCCCCTCTTCCTCCTCGTCCTCCTCATCCTAAGTACCATCCGCCCTTTCTCCATCATCATCATCATCAGCAGCAGCATCATCAGCTGCATCATCAGCATCATCATTATGATCATCATCATCATTCTGATCATCATCATCATCATCATCATCATCATCATCATCATCATCATCATCATCATCATCATGATCATCATCATCATCACCATCATCATCATCGTCATCATCATCGTCATCATCATCATCCTCAGCAGCAGCATCATCAGCGTCAGCATCAGTATCATCATCAAAAGCATCATCATCAGCATCATCATTATCATCATCAGATCATCATCAACATCAGCAGCATCCTCATTAGCATCAGCATCAGCAGCATCGTCATCATCATCATCATCATCATCATCATCATCATCATCCTCATCATCATCATCATCATCATCATCATCATCGTCATCATCCTCATCATCCTCATCAGCATCATCAGCAGCAGCATCATCATCAGCATCATCATTATCATCAGCAGCATCATCACGGCACTCCCAAGCCTGGAGACACGTGGTGCCACACGTGACGACATCTCGTCCCCTCGAAGAGCCGCCACCCAGAATGATGGGCTGGCTCGGTGTGAGACAAAGCCAGGACGAGGATAGCATCGGGGGAGGATGAATCGAGAATCTCTGAGGTCTGGCAGCTCTGGAGGATGTCTGGGGCGCCGCGGCCTTCTCAGAGCGTTCTTCAACGCTCTTCGCGATCTGGAACGCTCAAGAACAGATTGATCCTCGTCCTAGCCCGGTCCGACATGGGTTCTCGATGGCGGTGGTCCATGTCTCTTCTGATGTAGAGGAAGAAACAACTCCGTAAGCATGATGCTTCCGAGGTCCGCGCAAATTGATTAGATCGGCGTTGGACACTCTTGGCAGCGCTTCCGGCGCCGCCCCTGGTGCGCCCGGCCCGCCAGGTGGGGGGAGGGCCAGCGCCGATCCAAAAAATCCGCACGGCCCTCCGAAAGTGTATGTTCATGCCGTGTTCTCCTCCGAACCTGAGCTATTCGTTCCCTAGCTTACCTCGGTTCTTCGCTCCAAAAGCGCTGGCTTCTTCGTTCCTGGACTCAACTCCAGTGCCCATTTACCCCCTTTGCCCAAGCGCTGGGGAGCCACTCGCCCGGATTCTCCGCTGAGACCCGAGCCATGGCCATGCTACTCGATCCTTGGCAGGAGACGCCCGATGAACTGCATGGGAAAGAGGTCGGGGATGGACAGACCTCCCTTTAGTAAAACGGTAAAACGTGGTTTAGTGAAAACGACCTCGGGCCCAAACCTGGCGGGCGCAAGCCTGGAAAATAACGGCCGCGGCGCCCTCTCGAGAACCGACAACGGACAATTCACTAATCGACGTGTCAGGGTAGGCGGTCTGTCCACCCCCGAAGAGGAGAGACGAGGGCCCCAGACTGCGATCACCCCGGCGGGCGTCGGCTCGACTTGCGTCCCGCTCGCCAGACCCGTCGTGCCAGCTCGCGGCACTCTTCGGCCGCGCGGGTCTCCCGAGGTCCTGGCTGCACCCTCGGTGCGGGCAATAGTTATATCCACATCCAGTGAGTCTTGGAGTTTTGGGCTACCTTCCCTAGAAACTGGAGGCGCACTGGATATGGATAAACATCTGGCCCCAAAAGACTCGATGTTTATCACTATCCAGTGCGACTCGGCCTTGCGGTACCCCTTCCCAAACATTCCAAGACGCTCTGGATATGGATATAAGTCTTGCCCGCACTCGGGCGCGCGTCATCCAGAACCCAGCCCAGAACGGTCATAAACGCCGCCCGAGCGTCGCCTGCAACAGGGAGGAGGAGGACCTGAACTCAGGCTGGAGGGGCTGGAACTCGTTGCGAGGGTGCCTGCGACTACGCCCGTTACTCAAGGGCTTCTAACTTCGCGCTTCGCGCTGCGCGAAGCGCGAAGTGCGAATAACTTCGCGCTCTCGCGCCGCTCTCAGGGGAGAAGAGGAAGATGAGGAGGAATCGGAGCCGAACCGCGAAGCGCGAATAACTTCGCGCCCTCGAGGGCGCCCTTGGTTACTGGACCCCCCACCCTGGTAACACCACGACGCGTGCCGGCGCAGTCCGAGAACGGCCACGGGCAACCCACTCCCAGACGGTGCCGGCGCGAATCGATACGCTACCGGCCCTCAATGGGCCCTGGAAACGACAGGGGCGTTTTTGTTACCGGTTCCGTTTTGCCGTTTTGTTTGCCGGTTCCGACGCCGTTTTTTTACCGGTTCCGTCGCCGTTCTTTTACGGGTTCCCGCTCCGGTTCCAATCCTGGAGCCGTTTTTGTTGCCGTTTCCGGTCGCCATTTTTTTGCCGTTTCCATTTTCAAGGGGCACTTTTTCGGACACGGTGAAAAAACGGCCCTGCCGTTTCCGGGGCCCACTAAGTACCGGCCCCAGCGACGGCCGCTTCCCCGCCAGAGTCGAAAACAAACATGTTCCTGGGAAGTCGGCCGGCGGCTTTCTCGGAAGCCAGGCAAGGGCTGCTAAATCCGTGGCTGCTAAAATCGACCTCCGGGAAGTTGTCTTCGTCCTTCCGGGAAGAAGCCCGTGGTGCCGAGCCTCCTTCCGGGAAGTCGTTTTTTTCCTTCCGGGAGGGCCGCTTTAGCAGCCACGGTCTTAGCAGCCCTCGCCAAGCTTCCGACCTTCTCCCGCCCGCGACCAGGAGCGAAGCGCACAGCGTGAGCGGGGGGGCGAACAGCACCAGCAGGACGAAGGCGTGGCCTCCCGCGAAGCGCCTCCCAGGCGCGCACGCCCCGGGACCGCTCCGGCCGCCGCTCCTGCTCGCACTGCTGCTCCTGCTCGCACTGCTGCTGCTGCTGCTGCTGCTGCTGCTGCTGCTGCTGCATCTGCCTCCGCTGGCGTTGCCGCTCCCTCTCCTGTTCACGCCGGGCTGCGCTTCGCCTCCGGCTTCCTCACCACTTCTGACTCTGTAGCATAAAAATTGGCAACCGCTTCACAGATGGAGGGCGTGTCATTTTCAAAATATGGCTCTCGCCTTAGCGCGGCGTGCACCCGTCTGAGCAATTCGCAACAGAAAAACGTATTGAAGGCGGGTGGTTTCGAGAATGTGGCTCTCGCGTTAGCGCGGCGCACATTCGTTTCAAGAATTCGCAGGGGCTTCACGGATTGGGGCGGCCCCTTTTCAAAATGTGGCTCTCGCCTAAAGCGCGGCGCACATTCGCTCTAAACCTTTGTAAGAGTTTCACGAATTCCCCTCATCAACGTGCCAGAAAGGATGTTTTGACAGGATTCAGAATTATGCGGGTGCAGAAGTTATGCGGGTTCGCTGTGTTGAAATCCCAGGAATGGCGTTCTGGCACGATTCCGGAGTTTCAAGACGCAGCAGTCAGGATGATACGTGGCGTGGAAATTTCGAAAACAATGTTCTGGCATGCTGCAGGATCTTCAAACGTTTGTCTTCCAACGAGACAGTTCCTCAAATGAACCGCTGTGGGGGCCTATGAAGAGGAAGTTTGGAGGGAGGGTGAATTCTAACATCATTGATGACTCTTGGTTTTTCACTTGTCCTCCTCCTCCTCCTCCGCCTCCTCCTCCTCGTCCTGCTCATCCTCCTCCCCCTCTTCCTCCTCCTCCTCCTCCTCTTCCTCCTCCTGCTCTGCTCCTCCTCACATCCTGCTCCTCCTGCTCCTCCTGCTCCCCCTCCGCATTGTCGCCTGTATCCTCATCCTCCTGCTCATTCCTCCTTCTCCTCCTGCCCGTCCCACTCTTCCTCCTCCTGCTCCTCTTCCTTCATTTCCTACCTCTTCTCCACCTCCTCTTCCTGCTCCTCCAGCAAATTCCCCCCCCTCGTCCTGCACCTCCTCCTCTTTTTAACCAGGGGCGAATAGCCCCAGAAATCGGTGATGACTCTTGGGTGTACACTGGTCCTCCTGCTCCTCCTCATCCTCCTCCTCCTCATCCTCCTCCTCCTCCTCCTCCTCCTCCTCCTCCTCCTCCTCCACTCCTCCGCCTCCTCCTCCTCCTCCTCCCTCCTCCTCCTCCTCCTCCTCCTCCTCTCCTCCTCCTCCTCCTCCTCCTCCTCCTCCTCCTCCTCCTCCTCTCCGCCTCCGCCTCCTCCTCCTCCTCCTCCTCCTCCTCCTCCTCCTCCTCCGCCTCTTCTCCGCCTCCCTCTCCGCCTCCGCCTCCTCCTCGTCCCCTCCATCTCTTCCTCCTCCTCCTCCTCCTCCTCATCATCATCATCATCAGCATCATCATCATCATCATCATCCTCATCCTCCTCCTCCTCCTCCTCCTCCTCCTTCCTCCTCCTCCTCCTCTCATCATCATCATCATCTCATCATCATTCATTCATCATCATCATCATCATAATCATCCATTTCATCAGCAGCAGCAGCAGCAGCAGCAGCCATCATCATCATCATCACATCATCATCATCATCATCATTCATCATCATCATCATCATCATCATCATCATCCATCATCATCATCATCATCTCATCATCATCATCATCTCATCATCATCAGCATCAGCATCATCAGCATCATCATCATCATCATCATCATCTCATCATCGCATCATCATCATCATCATCATCATCATCGTCGTCATCATCATCATCATCATCAGCATCAGCATCAGCATCATCATCATGAGCATCATCATCAGCATCAGCATCAGCATCAGCATCAGCAGCATCATCATCATCATCATCAGCATCATCATCACCATCAGAATCATCATCATCATCAGCAGCAGCAGCATCAGCATCATCGTCACCATCGTCATTATCATCATCCGCATCAGCATCATCATCATCAGCAGCATCAGCATCATCATCACGATCATCATCATCATCATCATCATCATCATCATCATCATCAGCATCATCATCATCATCATCAGCATCATCATCATCATCATTAGCATCATCAACAGCATCAGCATCATCAGCATCATCAGCATCATCATCAACATCGTCATCATCAGTCAGCATCGTCAGCATCATCATCATCAGCACCATCACCATCATCATCGTCAGCCTCATCATGTTCATCAGCAGCAGCAGCAGCATCAGCATCAGCATCAGCATCAGCATGATCAGCATCGTCATCATCATCGGCATCATCATCACCAACATCATCATCAGCAGCATCATCAGCATCATCATCGTCGTCAGCATCAGCATGACTATCATCATTATCACCATCAGCATCGTCATCATCATCATCAGCAGCATCATCATCATCATTATCAGCAGCATCATCGTCATCGTCATCATCAGCAGCAGCATCATCATCATCAGCATCATCATCATCATCATCATCATTATCATCATCATCACCACAATCATCATCATCACCATCATCATCATCCTCCTCCTCCTCCTCCTCCTCCTCCTCCTCCCCCTCCTCCTCCTGCTCTTCCTCGTCCGCCTCCGCCGCCGCCTCCTTCTTCCGCATCCACCTCCGCCGCCGCCGCCGACGACGACGCCGCCGCCGCCGCCTACTCCACCTCCTCCTCTCTTTCTCCTCCTTCTCCTCCTCCTCTTCCTCCTCCTCCTCCTCCTCCGCCTCCTCCTCCTCCGCCTCTTCCTCCTCCTCCTCCTCAACCTCCTCCTCCTCAATGCTAAAGAAGAACGGCCAATGGGCATGCAAAGAGTGCTGGCTTCCACCTGGCAAGGACAGTGTGGTCGACTGGCTGAAGGCCAGCGTGTGCGTCGGAAGTCCGTACGAGACACGCCGAGCGGATCACGGATATGCTGCACAAGTACCCAACAACGAGATGATAGAGATAACGGGTAAAGTGATCCACGATAGCCACTGCACAGCGGTCGCCCATGGGCAGTTCTGATGCTGGAACTGTGCGGCAATGGCTTCACACAATGAGGGTGGTCAGGGCAGAGTCAACTTGCTGGCGGCAAAGTGCAGGGAGAACGTCACCCCGAGCGGCACGACTGTACTGCGTCGACTGCGGCAGGGACTACCGCCGAAGGCGGGCCAGAACTGGCCAGGCGGAACTGTGCCGCCTAACGGCGGTCGGCCACCACGAGCTGTTGCTGGGCGACGTCTGCGTGGTTGAGTACACGGCACAGGGCTTCGGCCCCGCAGGAATTCTGCCCTGGAGAGGCAGTGAGGTGGAGGCCAACCCTGTTCAGGCCGGGCACGGGGCCTTGGCCCCGCAGGTTTACTCTGCCCTGGCAGTGGCAGGGAGGTGGAGCCCCGCCCTGTCTCTGGGGTGGGCTCGCGACCTCAAGAGAGCCCGCGCGGTCGGCGCGGGCGGGGGCCGCGGCGGCCGAGTCGACCGCGAAGCCCCTCGCTCGATAGTCCTCCTCCTCCTCCTCCTCCTCCTCCTCCTCCTCCTCCTCCGCCTCCGCCTCAACCGCCTTTATCCTGCGCCTCCTCCTCTCCTCCTCCTCCCGCCTTCCTCCTCCTCCTCCTCCTCCTCCTCTCCTCCACCTCCTCCGCCTCCTCTCTCCGCCTCCTCCTCCTCCCCGCCATCACCATCCTCCTCCCCTCCTCCTCCTCCTCTCTCCGCCTCCATCATCATCATCATCATCATCATCACAACATCAGCACAATCATCAACATCAGCATCAGCATCAGCATCAGCATCAGCTCCAGCATCAGCATCACATCATCATCACATCACATCATCATCTTCATCATCACATCATCAGCATCCTCAGCATCACATCATCATCATCATCATCATCATCATCATCATCATCATCATCATCATCATCATCCATCATCCTCCTCATCATCATATCCATCATCATCATCATCATCATCATCATCATCATCATCATCATCATCATCATCATCAGCATCATCATCATCATCATCATCATCATCATTATCAGCAGCATCATCGTCATCGTCATCGTCATCATCATCATCATCATCATCATCATCAGCATCATCATCAGCAGCGTCATCATCATCATCATCAACCCATCAGCATCATCATCACCATCATCATCATCATCATCATCATCATCATCATCATCATCATCATCATGATCATCATCATCATCATCAGCATCATCATCATCATCATCATCAACAGCATCATCATCATCGTCGTCATCATCATCATCATCAGCATCATCAGCAGCAGCATTATCCTCATCATCATCATCAGCATCACCATCACCAGCATCATCATCATCAGCATCATCCTCATCATCATCATCGTCATCATCATCATCATCATCATAATCAGCACCATCATCATCATCATCAGCAGCAGCAGCAGCATCAACATCATCATCATCAGCATCATCAGCGTCATCATCATCACCATCATCATCATCATCAACAGTCAGCATCATCAGCATCATCATCTGCAGCATCATCATCATCAGCATCATAATCATCAGCATCCTCAGCATCATCATCATCACCATCATCATCCTCATGATCATCATCATCATCATCAGCATCATCAGCATCAGCATCAGCATCAGCATCAGCATCATCATCATCATCAGCATCATCATCGGCGTCATCATCATCATCATCAGCATCATCATCACCATCACCATCATCATCATCATCATCATCATCATCATCATCCCTCGCTTCCTCCCTCGCCCTCTCCCTCTCCCTCTCCCGCTCCCGCTCTCTCTCTCTCTCTCTCTGTCCCGTTCCCGCTCCCGCTCCCGCGTCCGCTTCCGCTCCCTTTCCCTCTCCCTCTCGCTCTCTCTCTCGCTCACCCTGACCCTCTACAATTACACAATATGAAAATACTCTCCCACTTCCCCTGATGGC